AATAGGGGACCAACCCCCAATTCATCTAGAGGCATTCAATGGGGTTGAATAGTTTAGACTCAAAGGCTGGCTGGCCACTTCGCGCCGGTGCTTCAGAGGAATGGTCAGCTTCTTTGGCGCCCTTGAACAACCAGCCAACCCATGCTTGCGGACCTTGCCCAATTTCTGTGATACCAAGGGGCCCCCTTGATAAGTGATGCAGTAGTCATGGACATGGTCTACTTTGATATCACGGTCATTCCGACAACCCGAGCTCGGTACCAGCTCTTGGCTACATTCTGGGCCAACGACACAGATAGTCCCGGCACGAACATCGCAACTTCGCCGGGTTGCCCACGACAGGAGGAGCCCACGAATGGAGGTTTCTTTTGCTTTCCCTTTGGTCCAAAGCGAAAGGGGTGTCCACAGTTGCGGCCATCCTGACTTGAGCACGCTGGGCTGGGATAAATCGAGCGACCGCAGGTCGCTTGGGGATCCCTTTCGGGCCTTGTGAATCATGTCAAGCGCGGGAATGAAACCAGCCAACTTCGTGCTGTTGGCTTGGGATTGTTTCATGCCTCAGTGGAGTAGTGGCACCTTCGATTTTGTGGGTTCGCCACTTAAAAGGCGAAAACAACGCACTGCAAAAACGGGTGACCCTTTGTTCTACCAGAGCCTCTATATCATGGCTCTCGCTGGAAACGGGTTGTTGCAGCGAAACGGCTTTCTGCACGTGTCGCGGCTGCGAGGCCACCTTGAAGCCGACCGACTTGCAGGCCAAGGGCTTTGGATGAACGGGACTCCTTGAGGCCCTCTGGTTCCCTGTGATCGAACCTGAGGCCTCCAAATATATCAGTGGGTGTCTTTTGGAGGGTATTCTTCTTGGGTGGTCTTAGCATGTTTTAAGGGGAAACCTTTTCTCTTGGGGGTGGACCCCAACAATGACACATACCCATGTATGATTATGATATAGAGACATACACGTATACACATACATGGTGTTAGGGTAGCGTAAAGGTTGAGCCCAGAACTCCTTTCCTGGATGCATGCAAGCAAGATGTTCAGGCAATCTGGGATCTCCATTGAAATGATGTGATGTTTGAAGGTTGCTGGCTGGGTGCAGCCGAGGTAGTGACAGGCTCAATGAATTTGCGCATGTGTTTTGCATGGCTTCCGCTTGCTTCGAGGGACTGGGCCAAAGACAGGGTCATTCGGCCATCAAGTTGTGCCAACATGATCGATTGACATGCCCAGTGCTTTCACTTAAGCAGGCTGATGTTTCTCGCTTGGGCAAGGGGAGTTTGTGTTGCCAGCAATGCAATGCGCCAGCAAATATGCCGCTTCCATGTCGCTCCGTTCATTTTTGAACAACTACCACATGCACAGACAGAATGCAACACAAGACAACATGAACGGCACAGGTTGCGCAAAAGGCTCGTCCAGTGGCATGTCTGCGGAGGGAATGGATGATGTTCTTGTTGCGCAACGCAAGCGGCTTGTCAAGCAGACTTCGTGTGAGATGGTGCGAGCTGAGTTTTGTTCAGAGCATGAAGCTATGCTGAGTTCCCTCGCTGGTTTTTCAAGAGCGCACCTTGGAAAAGAACAGCTCAGAAAATGGCCCAAGTGTCTTTCCTTCGGCCCAGGCGGGAGTTAATTCCCCATTTTGGGTTTCATCGCGCTGATGTTCTGATCGCAGGGTTTTCAAAGTCCTTTTCTGGAACAGACTGAACATATTCCTTTCGGCGTACCCCGGAGTGCCGTAAACGCCGGCAACCGCCCCCAACCCACCGCGGTTCCTTCCAAAAGCTGCGAGAGGGGTCCCTTAGCCGTCAGGCGCAGAGAGCAGAACCTGCTGCAGCGCCCTTAAGCAAAGAGGGATGAGCAGCTGCTGTTTGGATGGGTCAAATCTGGGGTCATGATTTTGATTGTTTCTAGGGGTTGCCAAAGTCAGAAAATGGGGGTGGTTTCCCTTTAACCCATCACTTAGGGGTTGACTTTGATCATGGTAACATAGTGAGGCCAGTCGTCCAAGTCAGACAGTTTCGGAAGTGACGGATCTTGTTGGGCGGGAATGGGTTACCCAAAGGTGATCGACGATTAAAGATGGTTGGCAAGCTGGGGTTTCAAGGAGCTGCGTTTGATGTTCTCCTCCACTGGCTCCCTGGCGGAGTGGCCAGCTGTTGACCGTTCCAGCGGCATGCCCTGCAAGGTTGGGGCGTCGTGGTTCCTTCCGTCCAAAAGATGCATCCGTCCATCTTCTTTACATTAAGCAGTTGGACATGCTTTACGTCCATGTGTCCTCCAAAGAGTGGATCAGGGGCCAGCACCAGCTTCAACTGCGAGCACACCAGCAGACCGGCAACCAGCATGGCATCTTAACCCAGGCCTGTGCCCGTTGTCCTTCTTTGGAGAGCTACCCATGTCATGTCGTGCCACGCGTGCTTGCCAAAACTGTGGATGGACGAAATCCTGCACCTCCTAAGCAACCATGAGACACCATTGTTCGTTGGTATTTACAGGGGAATCAACATTCCAGGGTTTGCAGCTCGACCGAGGTGATACTGCGCCCCACGCCGCCGCTGGCCTCAGACGTTCAGCCCGGCGGGCCACCGAAGAAGTCTCTGCAGGTAGAGAATCCTTGTTGCCCAGCACTTTTTCGGATTTGTTTGTTTGGGGAAGTGGTTCCCTTTAAAATCAAGCACGCAAAGAGCGCGCATGTTGTGGCTAAGGGAGTGCTAAGATTGAGCCTGGCAAGCAGCGTTAGGTTGCCCTACCAAGCCTTACCAGGCATCCGTGTGTGGCTCTTTTGCTATTGCTTCTGGATAAGTAATCCTGGTGGGCTCTTGGGACTTTTCCCCTCAAAAGGGCTGGACGTCTTTATTTTGTGGCTTTCGCCCGCATCAGCCAGGCACTGATTTGTGTTGCCATATGAGCTGGTTCTACTTGGCTTCATGGGCTCACAAGGCTTACAGCCGACGCATTTATAACCAGGTTGGGTTCATAGAGGCAATGGGTTTGGAGCATCAGGAACGCCGCCGGCAGCCACCAGACGTTGGCCCACTGCTATGTGAGCCGAGGCGGCAGTTGGCAGTCCGGTCAGATCGGTTGCATCTCTTGGGGGGGCAAGGGACGCTTCTGCTGGGACTCCGCCGAAATATCTGCCATGTTCGACCGAGTGTGTGGCCCTAGGTTCCGGAGATATGGCTAAGTCTTGGCAGGTGTGCAAGGACAAATTGCCTTTCCAAGAGTCGCTTTGCAGCTCAGTTGCTTGCCTCAGACACACACTCAGCAACATGTGTCATTCGCTCCAGCTGACATGAGCTCACGGAAACAAAATGGTTCGCGAAGGGCAAGCGAGCCGTGTTCCTTGTTAAGGCAACCATCGCCTATCCAGGCGGAAAGCATGTGTGATCGTAGGCCTTGCCCATGTACGATGCATTGCCTTTCCCATGTTGGACTGTTACTGTGATTCTTTTTTTTCGGTTCCTTGTTGAGCAGAAATTCATGGGAACATATGTTCCCGCACAGGAGCACGACACCCTTTCAGATACATCATTATGGGAGCCTAACAGGCAGTTCTGCCGCGGCCATGTTTCATCCGCTTGGGAAGCCAAACCGACACATGTTCCTTGCCAGAAAGATAAGGTCCCCAGACCCCAGCAAGGTGCTCAGAGCCCTTCTGCGGTAAGCACCACCTTCTACGAAAGCAAGAGCATTTTTCAGGGTGCGGGGGAACCTAGTTTGGTGTCCCTATTGTGGAGCGCATATACACCCCCAGTTGGTGGTAATTATTGAGCGCGACCTGGCCGGAATTGCTAGTGCCCGTCGGCCTTCGGGGAAGAGTTGCCGGGTTGTGCAATTCCAGGACGTTTCGGAAGCCATTTTTCAGGTTTTGGGGGGCCTAGGCCAAGGATGGAGGAATCTAGTCCGACCTGCCTTGCTGCGAGGTGGTGACGGTGAATACGGCATCGACATTTGCAAGGCCAATCTGCGCACAGTCGGGTCTCGGTACCTGGCCACCTGGAAATGTGGAGCTGGATTGTTTCTCATCTGCTCACAGGTGGACTGTAAGAACTGTTTGGGGATATCAATTTGGTGGCAAACGGACAACCAATCCACCCTGGCTCTAGGAGGAGCTCACTCACCATGAAGGTCCTAAGGAATTTGGATTGCTTAATTGATCCGAATTGGTGAACGCATTGCCTGACTGTTTTCTTTTCTGGACTTCCTTTTCCCTCCCCTTATCAGCCAAGATCACTTTTTTGGCAGGGGTCGAGGTTTGGCCAAGGTAAGAATTGAGAATAACCCTTGCCGTCTTTTGCAGGGCCACATGTTTGGACGACATACTTGGGGTGAAACTTGTTTGCAGAGTGCGTGGCTGCGTGCTTGGGATGGCCATGCGTTGGCAGCTGCCCTCAGCGACTATGGACTTTCAAGAAAACCCAATCATTGAGAGTTTGGCTTGATGCAACGGGTTGAAGCTTCTCATGATTCAGACGCCGCGCCACGCACGGCTGAGTTTGGACTGACATAGGAGGCGCTGTACATGTCAAGTTCATGAACAGACCCTGCTTTTGCCGTAGACAAATCAGACTGCATCAATTGAAGCGCCCAAATGTGATGCTGCGATAACTGGACCAAGCTTTGCGGCTCAATACATCCACTGCCAAAAATCAGCAAAAGTCAAAGCTCGGCAGCTCGAAGCCTGGATCAATGACAGTGTGCGGGTACACCAGGTAAAGCGCCCAAAGCACACGAAGCACCAGAACAGCACGGATCGGCTTTCGGGAGGGCAGCCATGTGAATTCCCTGGCAGTAGAACTCACGAATGAGCAAAGTTAACGAATGAGCAGCGACTCAGCGCGGAAAATACTCTTTCATAAGATGATATGACCTCAGCTAATGATATGAGCGACCTTGGACTTTACAAAAAGACAACCTTTTCAACGTGAAAGACAATGGTTGCATTGGATCATCAACAAACCTGGGGTCCAAGGAAGATGCTAGAAACCGCCCTTTCCCTGGTGACCGGCACCTAGCTCTTTCCATCCGTCCTTCCGCCTCCGTCGGCGGCCTCGCGCCTCGCTTTGGAATGGACGTCCCCACGGAGTTCGTGAGCTTCGCGGAGAAGTTGGCGGATGTGGCGGGGGAGGTGATCCTGAGGCGAGAAGATGAAACGCTGCACTCCCTCAGACTGAGGTTCCCCCCATATGGGCGTGGGTCAAGAATAGGTACCCAAAATGGAACCCTGGTAAATGGAACCAAGGACCAAAACCTGCGGTCCCCTGGTGGTTTAGTTTTGACCCATACCCATATGAATCAACCCAGTTTGTCAATTGGGGGGTGTTTTTCCCTGGGTTTAGTGAGGGGTTGATTAGTATGGGGTGAACATAAACGTGGAAGGGTCCCAGAAGGCCCCTGAAACTGGAACCGAGCCCTCCCAAAAGGGGTCCTGGGAGATTCCATGTTGGTCTGGGGCTTCAGACGCCAAGTTAGCAAGTGGTCTTGCCCAGAGTGGCTTTGCAGGGAGCACGGAAACATGTGGGTTACAGCACAGGTTGCCAACTGACTTACTTGGCTGAACGCCCAAGTATCCTTTTCGGGTTCGTGAGCTAGACCGTCAACGTTTTTGTTAGGGCAATTTTGAGGATCCCACTTTCATGTACCCCTTGAAAGGTTCCTTTGGTCTCTGGCGGTTATCCAAGTCACACACCGAGCTTTGATAGCTGAATGTTGGGGGTGAATTAGCCAATGGTTGCCGTTTCCTGCGGAGCAAGGCCAAAAAGCAAAGGAAATCCCCTTTTCTAGTCATCCATCCCATTTCCCCTCAAATACCTGGGGAATGCCCTTGAATCTGATAAAGTTATTGCAGAGATGGGAATGGGGAATCACGTAAAGGGGCCGGACCCTTTCTCAATCAGGAGGCCAAGAATTCCCCATGTTACGGCAACCTTCCCAGACCCTCGGATTGGACGGTTTCCTTGTTTATTTCATTTTGGACGGACCGGCCAATGTGAAGGCTTTTCTAGTTGTGACTCATGTTTGGCGGTGGGGTGAGGATTCATAACCAGGTAGCTGGGCCCTTTGGGCAGTTGCTTTGTTGAAGGAGCTTCATGTGAAAGTAGTGTTGGGATGTCCGTCACAAGTGACCACTGACCAGAATTGCAAGGCTGGAATAGGCAGACGTTCGACACAGATAGTTGAGTTTGCGAATTTGGAGATAGCCCATTTGTGTGCGTGTTTTTGGAGGTACCCTTCCCTTTCTGGTCGGTTTGTAGGGACTCCAAAAGGAACACCACCCTTGTTTCTTTTGGGGGGGGTCCCTTTGGCACAAATCCATTTAATGAGCCCACATGTCCGCTGCCCTGTCAGGTATTGGCGCAAGCCTGCGCTGGCCTCAGCCCGGAGCATCTCTAAGCCAAAGAAAATCCACTGGGCTTGGCCGCCAACCTCTGTCTTTGGTTGGGCTTATAACGAACCTCATTAAACCAAGCAGTGGCAAAGCTGTTTGGTTGCAAATTCCCATGGAAGAATCGGTGCATCCTATGCAACCCCTGGATGCTTGGGAACTCACACTCGTGGCATGGGTAGGTTTCCCTCGTATCTTCCAGGTATTTCGCCAGGGGCACCAGTTCAGCAGGGCTTTCCATGTTTCCCCATATTTCTTCTTTTTGGTGCTTTCAAAGCTCACCATTTGGGACAGTCTAAAGTGAGTTTCCGTTCGCCTATGGGCGCAAGTTTACTGCCAGGTCCAAAGGGGACAAGTTTCCCGCTGTTCAGCGGATTGCACCAATGCTCAATACTCCTCTGTTTTTTTGGTTACACGGAGCCCAACAAGGAGAAACCATCCTCAAAAGGAGGTAACAGTACTGGCTTTCAAGGTTCCACGTCAATCTGCAGGAGGATTTGCAAATCCCTCTTTGAGCTTCCCTTTTTTTCGCAGCTAGCGCCTCCAAGTCGTGTCTGATGGGATCCTGGGGTTGGACTTTTCTACTCCAAGACCCCTGAAATTCAGGGATCTCCGGTAGGGGCAACTGTTGTGGAATCAAAGTCGGCCGGGGTTCCTTGGTCCCCCCTCCCCCCCACCTCATTTAGCGGATCGGATCCCAAACTTTGATTTTTTTTGGGGGGGAGGGGGGGGTTGGTGCGTTTGCATGCCCAACCTGCGTAGTATGCAGGTGATAATATGTGATCATCAGGGCTCGTGTCTACCAACCCTTGTGGACCCAGTATGCGGGAGGTGGTGCTTCGGCGGTGGCCAACTCGTTGGAGGCCTTCCTTAGAGTACCGTTAGCTTCGTCCTGAGGCCTTGTGAGGGTGGGAAAACCATCCCCCGTCTAGTTGAGATGGAGCCCAAAAAGGGCGCATGTCAGAGTGACTTCCTAAAGGATTCCTTTAAGGACCTTTTGGGTTCCACCTGTGTTCTGCACTGTTTTGTTTATGATCGTCCAATCTAGCAGTTATGTGTTTGCACAAAACCCAATAGAAGTGTGCCTGGGTTCCATCTTACTCTGCAAGTGGAACCTGGGGGTTTGTACATGCTCCCCTGGTCTGGAGTGTAACGGATGCTTAGCAGACTTGTTTTAAAAAGGAAGTAACCAACCTTTCCGTGCCTTGTTGCATTGTGTTTTATGGGGCATCTCTAAACACAAAAGGTGAGCTTGAAAGGATGTGTTGTTGTTCAAACGCACACGACCCCCTCCCCCCACACCAAAGGACAAACACACACACACACACACACAGAAGGAAGAGAACAACACACAACACAAGAAAAGAAGTCAAATAAAAAGCAACGAGGGGAGTCGGGTGGATTTTCAGGTTGAGGTGGAGTCCAAGTTGGAGCTCCACCGCCCGGTGGCCGAGAGCCCGGTGACAGAGGCGGACCGGGAGGCGGAGCAGCGGATGCGCGAACTCATCGAAGCACAGTGCGCGTCGCCGCGTCGATGCGTCGCGTCGCCCGGGTCGGGGCGGGGGGGTCTCCAACGGGTAGGTCCCCTTGGCGGTTTCCAGCGAATCGTGCGGTGCCTTAGGGTGTTGAGTTGCTTTAGTACAGTTTAGTTTGTTTAAGTGGTTGGGTTTCTATTTGACTCACTTGCAGGTATAAACTTTTAGGGGTCTGAGGACCAGGCTTGTTCGGGAAGCCGAATGAACCACCTTTGGAGTGTTTATCAAAATGGTGGACCGGTTGTCGTTTCGAGGGAATCCAAAAGGAAAGCATCCATTTTAGGGGAGCGCTTCCTATTTTGCCTAAGATTGTTGGTTCCCTCGGTCCACCACTTTGAAAACCCCTCCGAAATTGGGATTGATTCCCCAGAACCTTGCATCTGTGACTTTGATAGTGGCTGCTTTTGGGGGACTGATCGCTTTTTCAGGTCGGTTGTTGGGTCAGTTGGTACCTTGATAGGCACTTGGGCCCTCTTGCGGAGATGGATGTGCTTCTTTTGAGTTTTGAGCTTTTGGGGTTGATTTGGTGGGCGGTCGAAAGCAAATCGCAAGTTTTTAAAACAAAAACAATTGGTTGCTTCACCCACCCAATCAGAGGCCACTCAATTCCCCTTTTGAGAGAGGCCGCCGGTAACGTGCAAACAGTTACTTTTGCTTTCGTCAACAAATCCCAACCCGCCAATTCCGGTGAGCGTTTGGCCCGAACGGAGCAACGGATCCTGGATCCCCATCCCCGTGACTGAGTGACAACCCGCCGCGTGCTTTGAACATGGCGATCCGGCGGCTGAGCACCAACAGTCAGCACTGGCTTAAGGCCAGGTGCATGCAGCAACTGCGGAGGCGGGAGAGAAATGGGGAGAAGGGGCTTTGGGATTGGAGCGCAGCATTTGTCCGAACTATGAACTGGCTCTATGACTTAAGGGCAAAACCAGTTGATGTAGGGAGTGATTGGTAAAGGGGCCCCAAACAAGTGGCGGGGGTCAATAGGGAAAACCTAAGAACAAATTGGGGGGCCTACTCAAGTGGCCTCTTAGTAAGTACTGCTTTGTACTTGCTAGGGATTGTTTCAGTAGCTCCCTTGAGCTGGCGCAGTACTGTGTAAAGTTGGTTTAGTATTTGTTTAGTATTCCTGGGTGCTGGCGGCAGTGGTGTCATGAAAAGTTGGCTGTTTGGAGGCTCAGTTGGTTTTGCTGGCTCAGGATTGGCTTAGTGTGTCGGTTTAAAATTATAGTTTAGTATTGCCAGGCCTTGGGATTATGTGTTTCTCACCTCCGCGGCCATATGTTTTCTCACCGGGAAAAACAGGCGTTGCTATATGTCCTCCCCATTTTGTCGTTTCAGGGTGGGGAATAATGTCGGGAAACGCTTCTGAATGTGGCATTCGCCTCCCGACACTACCATATCACAACATCCATGACCCACATCATGGATCCCTGCAGCTGCTGCACATACCCCCTCCTAGATGGAATTTGGTCCTTAATCAAAACCCAGTCGTATACAGTCGTCATGTACCAGGTTGTTTATGTCTCATTCTCACCACCCAGTTTCTGGACCCTAGTTTTTGTTGCAAGATCATCTTACCTCTTAAAAAAACACAACTTGTCAACTGTTTGGGTAACATGGGCTATATGTCTGTAAAAGATTAACTTCCCCAATCCTTGGAGTCTTAAGGGGTAAATCATAGTGCAAGATACTTGGAGCTTTCTTGAAAACCAACCTCTCGGGAAATGAGCGTTCAGCCCTATGTGTCGCCCAAGGTTCTGCGGGGGAAACCCCGGGAGCTCAGGTTCAGCAGCGACCTGTTCGCGCCCACGGACACCTTCACTGCGCGACACCTCGGGCCTTTGCCACATGACGTGGAGGAGATGTGCAAGGCGCCACATCCCGGACCTGTCAGCGGTGATGTTTGTATTTTGACACTTGGTTTGGACCAAGTTTCCAAACCAAGTCAACAAGAGGTGCGAGGATTCGTTTGTTTGGATTCCCAGTGGCCCAATGGCACCCGCTATGTTGAAGGTAGGGCACCATCGCCGTAGGGCGTTTGAGGATTTACTTCACGCTAACAGAGGTTGGCTTCCTTACGGCTGGCAGTGGTTGTGTACTTATGCAAATTGTGCGCTTTGTCGAACCCTGGCCCGAGAGCTGTTTGAACCCCATTCAGTAGCCGAACCATTGACAATGGTGCGCGTTGAGTAGCACTTGAATCGACTACATCAAGTGGGGTGTAGAGGGTTCTCTATGTTTCCTTTTTGCTTTTTGGAACACTTTGGCGGAACAGGTTGACAAAGTGCCTTTCCATAATCATACGCGGGTTGGATTTTCATGTGCAAGTTGAGACCTAGTTGTGTCACACAAATTTGCGGTGCTATCCTTATGTATATGTCCTTTTGAACTTTGCCTTTGCCACCGCAGGCTGGGCGCTAAATTTTCCCGTACGTGTTTAAATTTAAACAAGGTTGGTTCTCTTCTTTTCCCGGAAGCCTCTTGTAACACTCAGTGTAAACATGCATAGACTGCATGTGTTCATTTCTACGCCACGGTTGCCCCAAAGCCTTTCCAGTACAGAACCTTGTTTTTCTTGTTTGGCTTCCCTTTCCTTTCTTCAAACCTCCCTTCGTTCCTCGCCTGGCTGGCCGTCGCTTTCTTATCCGCCCTTCTCGCTGGCGCTCGCTGGCAGGTCATTGGGGTCAAGGACCTTGCGGAGCTCATGGAGCAGGACGGGCTTGGAGGGATGGTGGGTTGAATGAAGAACATTGGGTGGACTTACTTGGTTGCGTTTTGCTTGGATGTTAAGACTCTAACTTTTGCCAACTAATGGGTTTCCCATTGCCACTAAAAGTTATTTCTTTAGCAGGGAGCAGAAAGCAACCGAGCTTAGTTGGCGGTTCTGGATTCGGATTGGTGGTTCTTGTTTTGGATATGAATGGGTCCCTACAAAAGTGGAGGGGAAATCAGAGACACCACTTGGCTACCAAACCACCAAGCGGGGGAAACATGAGAGAACTCATTGTACAGGTTCCTGCGTCGGTTTTACGACGAGACATGGGGTTGTAGAGTACTTTAAAGACATTAGACATGAAGATAGGAGGGCAACCATTTGGCCCACAAAAGAAAATGGGATGCCCTTTGGCTTCTTGGGAAACTGTAACCCAATGGGTCCAGGCAGCATAGGTAACCTGGATATGAAACTCTAGAGTATTACATCGTGTTTCTCAACCCACTGTTGCCCCAAGCGATGCCCCGTAAATGGGCAGTTTTGCAGGGCCCAAATGGGCCACTTCTGTACATTTCCGCTTGACAATCGAACAATCATCACTTTACGACATCCCCCCATGAAAAGGGTGACAGGCTCCTCCAGAAAGGGTCGCTGGGGTTTTACTCTGCATATGGCGGGCTTTTTGGGGGCAAACCGAGCGCATAAAGATCCTTCATATGGAGGATCCCTTGACTTATTTCAGGTTGAGTCCAGACAAACATAAATAATATAGATATATATATATATATATGCTCACCCCCCGGGCCTATATATACATATATATATATAATTTATATGATATGTGTATATATATATACATGCAGAGATTGTTTGGATCTGGGCGCCTGGCGGGGCCGCGCCTCTGAGGCCATCCCCGCCTCGGTGCGCCGAGAGCAGCCCATGGAGCTCCCAGATGGGGAGAAGATCGGGGAGTCGGACGCCCTGGCGCTCCTCAAGGCGACTGACGTATCGCCACCGGGTCCCGCGGGTGAAAGAGTTGTTCAAAGCTCCAGGCAACTTGGTGGCTTCCTGTGGTTTCACCTCCAGTACCATTATTTTCTACCTGTTTGCTCTACCATTTCTACCTGTTTGCCTTTTTAAGTAGTGGCTACCTGTTCTTGCCTGTTGGTGGCTTCTTATTTTTGTTTTTTCTCGGTGTTTTAAGCAAGCTGCCACACGGCTTTCCAGAAGAGTTGCAGTTTGCAGCCCTCACTATTCTAGGACTGGGTGCTTCAAGCTGAAGGTGTTGATTGGTTCTCAAAATTGCTTTGGGGCTGAGAACCCCTTAATATAATCGACAATTCAGAGTTTTGAGGTTCAGTCAAGATCTAGGAGCCTTCCCCTCGGTTCCAAGTGCTGGCGAACTTTTCCCATTGCTGCGGTTTTCCCGAGTTGCCGGTTGCGGACCGAGAGCGCTTTGAGGGCGGGTTCGAGGATTCATTTTTGTTTTTTAACGGTTATTTCCTGACATGCTTTGTGTAATGGAAACACAACAAGACTTCTACTTGCGATTATACAGATGACGCCCTTATCGGTACCATCACTTGTCCTCTCAGGTGCCTGGTCTCCACAGCCTTCCCTTAGAATGCTTGCCCACACTGAGACCTGCCCTCGTATGCCAAATGGCTGAGCCTGGCAAAAGGGGGCTTTATCTCAACACTGCTTCATTGGATTGTGGGCGGAAGGGACTAAACCTAAATGTTGCCAGTGACACGATTATGCAGATTGTTGCGCAAGATGTGGGAAATCCAATTGAATGTGTGCAGACCACCAGACTTGCGATGCTGCCACCGACAGGAGATGCTGAGCAAGAATATCATCGCGAAGAACTACATCGGCATGGGCTGCTGGATCGCATTCTCCCCGCCCCTGAAACGGCTCGCGACCACCTTCAACTCAATGAACGCGAGTTGGGCTGGGAGCTTTTGTTTTAAAGGGCATGGTGGTTGTAGCCGTAGCCCAAGAGACCAAAGGACCCCAAATTCCCTTTTGCGAGGCTCCTTCTCAAGTGCTTCTTTGTTTGTTTTGTTGCGGGCGGTTGTCGAATGGACAGATCCTTCGAGTAGCTTGTGGTAGATGAAGCAATACATTTCATGAAGCGCATGTTTTTACTCGGGAAAGGATGATAGGGTTCCTTGTGACGAGCTTGGTTCGTGAATCACACGACCTTGCATAGAGGCACAGGGGGTTGCTGAACTGTTCATCTCACCTTTTAGGTCTCGGGGA